TCCATCCGCCCTGGATCCCTGAATCTTGGGGTGCATCTCACTGTGCTCGGAGAGCTAAATGTGTGGGATGCCGGTGGTTAGCAGGGCACTGTGCTGGGAGAAGAAGGCAAAGGGTGAAGTGCCCGGCTTGGCATCTGTCTTGCTTTGCTAACCCTTACTTGTTCCCCTCCAGGTAAACTTCAATGAGCCGCTCTCCATGCTGCAGAGGCTGACGGAGGACCTGGAGTACCACGAGCTGCTGGACAAAGCAGTCAAGTGCGAGAGCTCCACGGAGCAGATGTGCTTCGTTGCTGCATTTTCAGTGTCTTCCTACTCGACGACTGTCCACCGCACCGCAAAGCCATTCAACCCGCTGCTGGGGGAAACCTATGAGCTCGACCGGCTGGAGGAGTTCGGCTTCCGTTCCCTGTGCGAGCAGGTGAGCTGGGGTCTGCGGAGGGGCTCTGCGTGTCTGCCCCGCTGCTCGTGTCCAGCCAAAGCAGCCCTTCCCTGAAGGAGACCCAGCACCTCCTTGCACTGTGCCTTCCTCGGGGCTGAGACAGCCAGCAAATTCCCGTTGGCGTTGGCAGAAGCAGCAGCGGACACAGCCCAAGCCATTTTTCAGAAGCAGGAGGGCAGTGTGCCCGTCCCAGCGTGGCAGAGCAGGAGGTGGGGAAGAAGGGGAGGAGAAAGTTGTCCATCACCCTGCCGGGTCTCCTGGCAGCCTGCCTGGGGCTGGGGTTGCTGTCACATCTCAACACTTGAGCAGAAAGGCAGAAGGTCTCCTCACCCGAGCTCCCTCCTAGCCATGTCAGTGGTGCCTGCGAGTTCTGGTGCAGTTCCTCCCTGTTTCAGGGTGTCTTTGGGCCAGAGGGTGTCTCGCGGTCTTGTTTCTTTCTTGTTGGACTGAAAATTTTTGGTTTCAGAGCCTGGGGGCAACCCGAGATCCTCTGACAGCCCCATACTCTAACCACAGAGCGCATCTGGCATGCATCGGTCAAAGAGCAGGTCTTAATTAAAAACCTGGAGTACTTAATGAGTTGCGACCTATGAAGAAAATCGACTGTTTAATATTTAGCACACTTGGCTGGTCCATCCTGGATTCCTGGGGATGGATGGAGCCGATTATCACCCCTTGCAGGCAGGACATCGCATTGGTGGGGGCTCTGTGTTCTCCAGGGGGTGGCTGTGCCGCCTCAGGGGCAGAGCGACCGTCGTGTCTTTCAGTGTTCAGAAGCATCAAACAAAATCACAAACCTCTGTCACTCTGCAGAGGCTGATGCAGGTCCAAGATCTGCAGAGCCTTTCAGCAGACTGTGCCCCTTTCAGCAGACTGTGCCCCCAAGCCCTGTGGGCTTTTTGGGGGGATGTTGCATGGGAAAAGGGTCTTGCTGCTAATCCGGGCATGCCATGCCTGTGGTACGTGATGCTGACAGCAGATGTCGGACGTGCGGATGGGGTGCGCTGGAAATAAGCAGTGAGGAGGCTCAGGCTTGCACCAGCATCCCTGTGTTCCCCTGACGAGGTTTAGCTTGTCTCTGTCCCTCATCATCATCTTCTCCAAGTCACGGCCCTTCGTACCCAGGTTTGGAGCAGCCGCTGTAGCGGGTGCCATGCTCTGCCATCAGCTCCTCGCAGGACACATAGGTGCAGGCAAAACCCCTCCATGGTAACGGGTGCCCAAGCTTGGCAGACTCTTGCAAACCTCTGGCCTGAGGCAGGACAGCACCTCCTGTCACATCCCGTCTCTCTCGGCTGCGCTGCTCTGGGCAGTGATGTTGAACAGGCTTTGTGGGCTCCCCTGGAAATGTGACCCCTTGCCAGTGACAAAAGGAAAGGTGCTTCAGCAGATAATCTCCAGGATTTGTGTCTCTGCTGTCTCTTCGCGCCATCCAAAGCTGCATGCCTGATGTCAGCCAGCTTTGATCGTCCCCAGTGATGCCCATATGGTCTGTCCCAGCCTTGGGAGCTCGTGCCCTGGGCTGCAGTGAGCCAGGACACCGCTGACCAGAGTGTAACGAGCTATGGCTGTGAATGTGCCTCCCCGTCCTGCTCTGCCCAGCGCCTTTCCTTCTCCTGGGAGGCAGATCAGAGGTGGCAGCATCCCTCCAGGCATCCCCCGGCACTTTGCTGTGGACATCGTAGAGCTCAGGTTCATCACAGCATCACACCTTCACCTCCCCTCGCCTGGCAGCGATTCTCCCATCCTGCCGCACAGCCAAATTCCCCAGCTGGCTTTATGCACAGCAGAGAGAAATTAGGGGTCACTGTTCTCCAACACCTCCCTGGTGCCCCGACTCCCTGGGCTGTCAGCCTGCTCAGCCTGGTGTTCTAGGAAGCGGATGATTCCTTACCAGGATGCTTGATCCATCCGTTAGCCAGCAACACCCCTCATCCTCCCGGGGTACGGTCAGAACAACAGGTTGGGATTATTACCCTTATTCGGGCTGTGGTGATGAAGCCCAGCGCTGCCCGTCGGGTACCGCCGCACATCCCCGACCACATCACTCCCACACCTTGCCATCCCTTTTCTCATTCCTTCACTGACATTTTCACAACCCTCCTTCCTCCATCCCTGTCCCCTCCCAAATAAATAACCTGCCCTGAATTACTTTTTCCAGTTGGTCCTGGTCTTCCTACATCTGTACCCAAATTTGGTATTTCTGACACCTCCACATCAGCTGAGCCACAAGCCGGGCTGAACGCCTGAGCGCAGCCCTCCTGCCTGGTCCTTGCGTCCCTCCCTCGCTGGCACAGCGCACGAGATTCATCCAAAATTACAAATTGTTGTAACTCGGAGCAAACCTGCTCCGTTGCAGCGCTCTGGAGCCTTTGGTCCATGAGCAGAGCCTCTAAATCTCCCTCCTGCAGCCGTCTCAGAGGGCACATTTGCTGACAGCACGGCTTTGCACCAGCACAGTGTTGGCAGTGCTTCTTGCCCTGGTGCTGCGGTTGGTGCGGGCAGCGTGGGATGGACAAACGGACACTGCTCCTACTGCTCTGAACTTTCCTTGGATGCTGCGTGTGCTGCTCAGCCTGCCGATGCGCTTAGCAAAGCCTTGATAATCTTGTGCCTGAAATCCAGTTATCCAAATAGGATTTTCTCCTGCTGGTGACAGTGGGATTTAATGCAGAGGTTTTTGCTCTGCTCACGTTTGTAATCCAGTAGCTCGGGGCGCTCAGCCTGTAATTACGTCGGTGCAAATAATCTCTGAACTCGGTGGCGTGGCTGTCGGGGCTCGGTGGTTGGCGGGTTCCCAGTGATGGGCGCCGTGTGCCGTGCCGGAGCGCCGTGGGTCGGCTGGGTGAGACCCCGTGTGAGGGCAGAGCCCTCTGGCTGGGATGTCCTGCTCCCACCTTGTTCTTGGACAGCTTTTCCAGTGCAGGGGAACATGAGCACCGTCCTTTTACAAGTCATCCCTGGGGACGGAGGATGTCGTATCTGTTTTTCCAGCCCAGCGTGTCTGTAGGGGCAAAGCCAAAGTCTTGGCTGGGCAGGTCCATGTGTCTCGGACAACTTGGGGACCTGTGTCCCCCGGGAGTTTCCAGGCAGAGCAGTGGGAGCCGCTGCTGGTAGGAGAGGTGCTGTTACACTGGGATTACTGGGGATCTGGGCTGGGTTTCGGCTCATCCCTGTTTCTCAACGGGGATCCCTGGAGAGCGGGGCTGTGTCCTGGGGTCACAGTACAGCATCGTCTCACAGCGATAGTTGCTCAAGTTAAGTTTTTTACAGCTGACGCTTTGCTAATGAGCTTTAGAAAATCCTGGCAGGAGCTCAGTGCACCTCCACGTGCTGCCGGGGTACCTCATGGGAGGTCATCCCAATGCCCGGGAGAAGATTGGGTGATTCAGGTCAGCACAGTGGAGCATCCTCAAGGCCAAAGCTGCTGTGGAGCTACCACCTCTCCTAGGACTCACGCTGTGATGGCCGAGCGCTCGCCAGGGCTCTCCGCTGCTGGTGGCCGTGACCTTAGGGGCTGTTTCTCCTCTCTTCCAGGTAAGCCACCACCCCCCGGCAGCCGCCCATCACGTCTACTCCAAGCGAGGGTGGACGTTGTGGCAGGAAATCACGATCGCCAGCAAGTTCAGGGGCAAATACCTCTCCATCATGCCACTGGGTAGGTGACTTATGCCGAGAGGATCGGGGCTTGCTTTTTTTCCCTGCACTGCTCACGCAGTACCCCAGAGGTTAAAGCAGCGTGCCGGTCCCTTGGGCTCACATAGGGCTTACTGAATTCCACCCTGAGCAACATAGGAGCACAGATTTGTGCTCCCGATCACAGACAACCCTACGATAACGCGTCTGCTCTGGAAATGGAAATTATGCCAGCGGCAAAGGAAGACTGCTTTGCTTGCTGCTAGCACGAAAGTGGATGTGCTTTGGAAATATCCTGCTTGCCCATGAATCGATTTCTCCTTAAGTGATATTTAAAGGTTAGCTTGCTGCCTGTTTTAACCCTCTCCCTGGCAGCCAGATGCAATAAGCTGCCTCCTTCCAAGGTTTTATTTGTCTTCTGCCTGTCCCTGGGCTGGGCAGCACGCCCGGGGCTGATCTCAAAGCTGTGCTGGTGCCTGGCTGGTCTCGTGACACTGAAAGTCAACCAGGCAGCACGTTTCTGACCTGCTTTTAAAATCAGTGCTTTTGGGGTGGGGAGGGGGCAGGAGGAGGGCAGAGGGCCTTGCAGGTATTGCAGCTCCCTTACTGTAGCAGACCACGGGGCGTGCAGCAAGGGGAGGGATGAATCCAGACCCAGCCCTGGCTGGGGGCTGGTGATGGGAGATGCAGGTAGAGGGCCCAGGTTGGCTCCGGGGACAAGCGTGATGCTGGGGTGTCGTTGTGCTCCAGGGGAGTGTGCCCGCAGCCCTGCCCAGTCATCTGCCCTCGCTGAGCTCGGGGCTGCTCCTCTCTCCACAGGCACCATCCATCTCGAGTTTCATTCCAGCGGGAATCACTATGTCTGGAGGAAAGTCACCTCCACCGTTCACAACATCATCGTGGGCAAGCTCTGGATTGACCAGGTTGGTGGCTATGGGTCCGAGGTGATGGGTCCTGCCCGGCCTCGCCTGGCTCTGGGGAAGGGCAGGGCGGGCTGGAAGGGTGCCCTCCTGCGGTGTGTGCCAGCGCTGCCTGGTGTCCCCACCATACTCCTGCCGCGATAGGAAGGTGTGCTTCCCCGGCAGGGATTGGGGGGGAGGCTTCTTGGAGCTCCTAATGGCTCTTCCCAAGGCCAGCAGCTCCGTGGGGCAGGGTGGTCATGCGCGTGGCGGCTTTCGCCCCGCTGCTGGCGAGCCGTGGGGCTGGGGGGGGGAGACGGGGCCGGGGGGGCGGGCGGGGCCAGCCGGTGCGGTGGCTGCAGCCAGAAGTGATGCTGCAGCTGGTGTTGATTTGTACCTGCACTACAACTAACGCCTGATTTGTCTCCTTGCAAAGTCTCTCACTCGCTGTGGTTCTGTGTCTTTCATCTAGTCTGGTGAAATAGAGATTGTTAACCATAAGTCAAAAGATAAATGCCAGCTGAAATTTACCCCCTACAGCTACTTCTCCAGAGATGTCCCCCGAAAGGTACGTATCCGGGTATCTCCCTGCTCCTTCTGGCAGCCTTGCGCGGGGTGAGACCTGGCTCTTCCATCTAAGCTGGGCTCACGGGGTCCCAGTACTGCAGCCAGCATGAGCCCCAGCACGGGGCCAAGGAGCTGCGCTGGCACCTCTGACGTGAGTCACCAGGGAGGGCTGGGGGGGACCAGCCGTGTCCAAGCAGAGCCCGTGTTTCGGCTCTCCGTGTGCCAGAGCTGGAGCACTGAGACCTGGAAAGGATTTGATGGGCTGGAGACCCACCTGCATGGTCAGGGTGGGCCCGCGCTCCGCCTGTGCTGGGCACAGCTGGTGTCCGAGGACACGCAGCGCCAGGTCCAGCTGCTCCGGTTGGGGCACCTGGAGGGTGTTCTGCCCCCCTGCGCCTCTCCCTGTCCTCTGAGTACTTCCAAATGCCACCAGAGCCATCTCCTTCTGCCAGGTGACAGGGGTGGTGAGCGATGCCGATGGTAAAGCCCACTACGTCATGTCCGGCACGTGGGATGAGAAGATGGAGTGCTCCAAGATAGTGCAGAGCAGCCACGGCAGCACCAGCACGGAGGGCAAGCAGAAAACCGTCTACCAGACGCTGTCTCCAAAGGTCCTGTGGAAGAAGTACCCCCTTCCGTGAGTCCCCTCCTGTTGCTCTGGGGTGCAACAGCCAGACGGGGGTTAATGGTGTCACCCTGAGCCCCGTGGGGTGGAGGGGGCTCGTGTGCCCAGCCCTGAGGACACGGGAAGGGGACCAGGACTTGGGTGGCTGCGTGGCTTTTTCTAGGGTGGGAGCACACAGCAGGAGGGGAGAGCAGGTCCCTGCAAGGGGAGGGTGGCTTTGGGGGACCCTTGCAGGTAGGTTTTGGGCAGCGAGGGTTCCTGGTTAGTTTTTTTGGGCTGCTGGCCACGGCAGGGAGATGTGCTGGCTGCTTTGCCTTGCTGGTGAGTCCTTGGCCGTCCTGTCCCACTGGTCACTTTAGCCCTCTGGGGACCAACCCTCTCTCGACACTTACCCACAGCGGAGCTGCTCTCAGACACCACACCAGTCTCCAACCTTTGGTAGCACCAATGGCCGGTCCCTGCTTTGGGGATACTCTGCTGCAACAGTCCCCGGTGGAAAGCGTCCTCCGCTTGGTGCCACCAGTTCTGCAGTTGGGGGTCCAGCAGCCCTTGGGTGAAGCTGTTGCGTGTCTCGGCTGCGCGATACAGCACTCGGAGTTCGTAGGCTTGGCTTTTACCTTCCCCAGATGGAGCGAACAGAGGAGGGGTCTCCGTTCCCCTCCCACTGAGGCGTCATTGGCATCTCTGCTTAGAAGGGTGGGAGGCAGGGCTCCCCAAAGGACTTCTACGTGTCTGGTTTGGAGTAGCAGGAGCAGCATCAGTGGGGCTGGGGTGAGACACAAGGACGTGAAGGGCTGGGGAGCTCTGCTCCAGGCAGGCACCACCTCTGCCATCCTGATCAGGGCTCTCCGGCCGCAGGGAGCATGCCGAGAACCTG